GTACATAGGTCCATAAGATGCACTGCAGCTCTCACTGTGTTAAGACCGAATTGGTAAAGACCAGCGAGTCAACTGAGCCTGGACATCTGTTACTACTGCCCTCGCCTTCATTTCCTCTTGTCACCTGGAACAAATGTCATTATTTCCAAAACCTGGAAATTCAATAAGTTTTCCCATTGAGCAACAACCCCCTCATGCAATCATGGTTACTGCTCCTAAAGATTTTATGTATATGATAGATGCCCACAGACGGCATAATGCAAGACATGATCAACGCAATGGTGTTTTTTGTTTACTCACTGTTTGATGATCTACTCTGGTCCTAGTTGTCTTGACAGATTATTAAAGACTGTCGCGGTTTACTTTTAACTGGTAAGACTGACTTTTGCATAGACAAAATCAAAAACCCCCCAAACAAAGAATTTCCTAAACAAATAGGCTTTTACAAAGAAATCAAACCAGTGGGTAAGTGGAGAAAATGACTAACCCTGCCTTTAAGCTGGGCCAAACTTCTCTACCGTCGCTATGTTTGGCTAGAGCTGCGGGTCATTTCTCAATTGTATTGCTGATTCAATTCAATTCAATTTATTTTGTATAGCGTCAACTCATGACAAGTGTTATCTCAAGACACTTTACAAAAAAGCAGGTAAAATACCTTACTCTTTGTCTGTTAACATTACAAAAGAGCAGGTAAAAAGACCTTACTCATTGTTATGTTACAAAAAGCAGGTAAAAGACCTTACTTATTGCTATATATCCTATCCATGGCCTATCCATCATGAGCACTTTAGCAAAGCAGCAAAATTTACAGTGGTAAAGAAAAAACTGCTTTATTAAAAGGCAGAAATCTTCGGCCGGATCCCCGGCTCATGACGAAACAGCCTTCACAGGCCTAGACTGCACCGGGGTTGGAAAGGGATAGGGGGAGAGATGGGATAAGATGCAGGAAGAGGGATAGGGAGCATACCTGTCACCTACCTTTAACACAGTTACCATCAAATCCTCCTATCTACGCTCTGTGAACTTCACAGGATCTGCCCTCTGCTGCTTCATGTCCTACATCTTAGGGAAATCTTTTGGCAGAGTGTCTTGAAAGGGCACAGTTTATCCCCAGGGGTACCTCAAGGGTCAGTGCTCGGTCCCCTTCTCTTCTCCATAGACACCACCTCACTTGGTTTATCATTCCACTGCTGTGCTGACGATACCCACCATTCCTGCCAGATGACATTACAGTCTCAGCTTTCGTAAAGTCTTGCTGTTATGACTAAATGTATGAATGCCCCATTCAACTCAACCTCTCAAAGTTTGCTCTAAAGGGACCCATGTCCCTTGCGAGACTCCGCTCCTCTGTCGCCCCCTGGTGGTGGATTGAGTACCAAACTCGATTCGATCTGCAAAGGTCCTTTGCACCTTTAAGAAAAAATCTAAAGACCAAGCTCTGTCATTAACAACAACACACTTAATGATCTTGTTGATGTTGGTAATGACCATGATGATATTTAGGATGGTTTGATGCTGATTAGAAATCTCAAGAGCGATGTTGTTGATGACGATATATTAACTTTGATTGTTTAAAAAAGTGCTGTGCCTCTGTGCACTGCCTCACAGACCCTCTGTCTGTGTCCTCGGACTTAAAGCTGTTTCTTTGCACCTACTGACGTTGTTTCCTCCTCTCTAGATATTCATATATTATATGTTATTTATTATATTCGATATTCAGCCACAAATTTGCACAGCTCTGGAGAACTGTTTTTGCAAACTTACATCTCTTACCTCCAGCAAGTATTTTTACATTCAGTTGACAAGCCTGAATAAATGTTGTATTTCATTTTTCATTTTTTTAAACCAGTAGGAATGTTAAGTTAAATCCTTGATGTATAAATCTCTTCTTATTCTTATTTTGTTTATACTTTAAGTGCTTATTCACTATTTATCTATTCTTATATTGTTTTATTTGCTCTGATAACATGCTGCTGTAACATCACAATTTCCCAGTTTGGGATCAATAAAGTAATTCTATTCTATTCTATTCTATATATTAACTTTGATTATTTTAAAAAGTGCTTCTCTAGTCCCTCAATTAAACAACTTTTATACGTGAGGGGAGGAGTCAGCCGCCGTCCGGGCGATGTAAACAAAGTGAAGATAGGACTCTTTAAACTCTGAAAACATCACAGACAGTGGGACTCGGGTGTTACACCCATTGTAGACAGTCGTGACTCAGAGTTATTTTCAGAGGATATACTTGATTTATATTACATTCAAGTGTGAAAAATCACATATAAAGACACATATAAAGAGACACATCTTAATTCAGCAGACTAAATGCAGCCTCTCCTTAAGACAGCTTTTACCATCTATAAGGTCACAGTATGAATAAGTATATAAAGCACTAACCTTTTACTTTCATACATAAGCAAACAGACCTTTAGAAATATCTTACCAAGAAAAAGAGTGTAAAAAACATTTATTTTGTCAAATAAGGAAATGGAAATGTACAAAGAATGATTCTCTCTAAGCTTGTAAAAATAACGGCCCCCCTCCTCCCTGTGTCCCCAGGTCCAGGCTCTGATAGATGAAGAAATGTGCATCAACTGTGGTAAATGTTACATGACCTGCAATGACTCTGGATACCAGGTATGTCTGTCTGTTAGATAAAGACATTTCTCTCTGTATTTATTCGTCTCACCATTTACAAGATGTAACTGGTGTCATATTGTGTTTTTCCAGGCTATAGAGTTCGACCCAGAAACCCACTTTCCCATTGTGACTGACAGCTGTACGGGCTGCACTCTGTGCCTCAGTGTTTGCCCGATCATAGACTGCATCAAAATGGTTACCAGGACAACGCCTTATACACCTAAGAGGGGTGTGCCAATAAGTCCTGTCTACTAAAGGAAACACCAAAATGTAATCACCACATTTGTGTTTGTGGAGATCAAATATTAGATTTGATGTAATGAAAAGTGAATCTTCCTAATGATCTTTGAGTCATAAGAAAAATGGCTGTAAACATTATAAACATGCATTTAAATTATTATTGATTGTGTAAAATATGTGAAAGAGATTGGACAATGACATCCACTATTTTTATCTACCTGCTAGAGAAGGAAGGTAACTGATATGTGTTGACTTTGGTAAACTGTAAATTGACTGCACTGATCCACCCATCTGGATCAAACAAACCTCATTTACTGTCAGTCTCACACACACGCACACACACACACACACACACACACACACACACACACACACACACACACACACACACACACACACACACACACACGTTAATGGCTATGCCTTTATGGGAAATTTGACTTTGACTTGTAAACTGCCAGAGATTTGGAATTGAACAGTTTTACAGACAACACTACATATAGCACTGAGAAATGAAATGGGTTAATTGCCTTTTTTATGAATCTGTGAATCTGTTGTTGATTGATAAATAAATCTAACAGAAAGGGCTTTATAACTTGCTGGTTTTGGCATTGTTGTTATCCCTGTATAAACACTTTTTGTTTAATGTAATGATGGACACTTGTTTCAATTAAATGTGCATTTAATTGTATTATATAGAGGGAAATGTATCTTTGATTGATCTATGATTCAAATAAAGTTTTGATATTCAGAAAAAAAACATCTTTACACTGGAGCACAAACTAAATCATACTTGGAGGGAACAGTACAAACAGGAGGTCACTGGAAGGTCATGTCCTGTCACATCTCAGACATTGTGGATTATGCTGAGATGAAATTGATGGAGTTTAATTTTATAAATTGTTCTGACCTTCTAATATAAAGGGTTTGTCTTACTTATGGACAATAGTGGTGGAAGTATTCAGATCTTTAATTGAAATTTATGAATACCTTAAGTGTACATAGAAACGTGTGTATAGACAAATGTGTTTAACCCGGGTTAATTTTATTATTGGGTACTTCAGTAAACAGAGCAGTGCTTTATGTCCGCAGTTACTCTACACTTTACAGAACACCATCATTCTATTAATAGCATTCATTTTGCTTTTGCTGATGAAATTACAAAAAAAATTCTGCTGTTAAATTTCTGGCTCCAGTTATTTGAAAGCGCTTTTTGTTCAGATTTTTCCCAAGGATTCATTGAACTCTCCATTTATACTCCACTTATTCCTCAACACATTAACATGCCTGTCATATGACGGAGGATTAGGGCCATGTTCATTTTTATTTTATTTTTAATTTCGAGATTGAACTCGTAAATTTACGAGAATAAAGTCGTAAATTTACGAGACTAAAGTTGTAAATTTACGAGAATAAAGTCGTAAATTTGCAAGATTAAACTCGTAAATTAAGAAGCTCGAGACCAGCCTGCGCAAAATAGATATAGACCAAAATAACGACTTTATTCTTTTATTCTTTGAAGACATTAAGGGTTCTACTTCAATCATTTTCGCACGGGCTGGTCTTGAACTCGTTAATTTACAAGATTAAACTAGTCAATTAACGAGTTCGAGACCAGCCTGTGCAAAATAGATATAGACTAAAATAACAACTTTATTATTTTATTCTTTAAAGACTTCTTCTTTAAAGAGTTCTATTTTAATCATTTTCGCGCAGGCAGGTTTCAAACTCGTTCATTAACGAGTTTATTCTCGTAAATGTACGACTTTATTCTCGTAAATGTACGACTTTATTCTCGTAAATGTACGACCTTATTCTCGTTAATTTACGACTTTAATCTCGTAAATTAACGACTTTAATCTCGTTAATTTACGACTTTAATTTACATACTTTAATGCACATAAATTAATCTTTCAAAAGAATGCATACAGACGATTTAAATTACGTTTTAAATCGTATTTAACTAGACCATAAATAAGATCCATTACTTTGAAGTTAATAACATGATTACTAACACTGCGTTAACCTCCTCAACAGGAGGTGGTGGTAATGCACACACTGGTACTGTTAGGTGTCAAAGGCCATGAAAAGAAGAAGAACGCCCATTTTGCTTTCACAGCCTGGCCACCGACGTGATTTGGAAATAGTATAATCAGATAGAAGAGGACAAAGAGTTGCAATGGACGGGTAAGTGTGTTTCTCTCTTTCAGGGTGCACCTTGCATTTCGGTGAATGTGAACATGATTAGTCTTTCTCTTGGTATTCTTTGTGTTAGCGCAACTGCGAACCTTGATACTGAATATTGAAGATAACATGACGTTAGGAAGCTAACACCCAGCCCCACGGAAGAAATGGTTTATTATTGTCTGGCATATATGGAAACGTGTGCATGCATTTATGACAGAACATGACACAAGAGCTATTTTCGGTAAACTCAACAAGCTCATAGGTAGAGATAACATGTACACGTTGATTAAGAGCTGCACCGCCTCGCCTGTTTTATAGGATACAATGTGATTTTTTTTTTTTTGCAACGTCAGCGTAACTACAGCAACCGGTGTAATATTTAGTTGTACGTCCGGATATGAGGAGTGAAAGAAGCTGTTAGCCCTGTTATAGCTCACACACGTCACCTGTCATTGGGGTGCGTTCCCTTTGTCTCTGTATATACTAATGCCCAAGCGACCTCTGTCTATACAGCTCACATTTGACAGATAAATGGATTGACATGATGTGCAATCGTCACATGGGAAAATGACGTAACGTTTCCTAACCAATCCAACAAAAAACGTCAAATTTTGATAAGCAATAAAAGTCTTTCTTCTCACGTTTAAGTGTGCGAGCAGAAGGGCCGATCTACGTAATAACGACCCGACTTAGCTCCGCCCATTAAAACCTAGAAAATAACGGTCACAAATCGGAAATCAGTCTTTGCACATGTTTAAAGCTTTCTTCTTGCAACATATTTAGCGTGCTTGAAGACGTATTACTGATTTTACTTTACAGGGACTTTAAGTATCAATTGTGGAATTGTGTCTGAGGAAGGCTTAAACCTTCATCATAGTGTTTCATCAATGTATGAGAAGGCAGCCTTTAATGTATTATCATTTATATCAGGTGTAAGATATAAAGTAATGACGCAATTACTGTATTTTTGAATGGTTAATTTTTGGGCATCATAAATCAGTCTCCTGAATACTTGGGATTAGTATTAGGGATGTAACGACTCACGATACTGGGTTCACGATGCATGGGTGGTTCTAGGCAGGGGCCAACAGGGGCCAACAGGGGCCAGTGCCCCTGTAACTCTGAGCTCAGTCCCCCCTTTGGCCACCCCTCCTAAAGGAAGAGCCCCCCTCATAACACATACACAGTGACTCAACAACCGGACTCACAATCTAGTATTAAATACTGTTACTGAAACAATTATAAATCATGGTATTTAAAGTTGTGTTATTTAATGATGTGTGCTATTATTTGGCATGAGTGATCATCTTTGTGTATTTTTCACCAGGGTTTAATGTTCCCCTCTGACAAAACAACTGGCCCCAGTTTGGCCCGCTCGTTAAAAATGGTCTAGAACCGCCACTGTCACAATACGATTCTCTCCAGATTTATTTTACAAAATGAGACTGAAGACAAAGTATGACTGAAACAGATTCCTTTAGGATCTGCTAACCTGCTTGTCAGTGTGGTTTGGCCTTTTAATGTTTTTTTCTCTCAACAAGGGGATGTGATTGGAGCTTCTCGTTGTGGTGTGGATTAAAAGCTGCATCATGTTGGTTGTGTTATTAGTGTCATTCTCTGTCTTCTTGTAATATTTGCACACAGTTTTTATCTCGTCTGTTATCTTCTCTCCTCTTTCATATTCTGTCTTTGGGAAGCCAAAATGTTTCCACACCTCTGATTTAAAAGACGGTGGTGCGTCCTCAATTTCTAAATCTCGCTCTGCAACTGCTCACCATATTATTGAGATTCATTTTTCAGAGTACCGATGTGAACCTTGACACCTTTGAATCGATTTATCACGATTTTATGATTCATCTTTACATCCCTAATTAGTATTCCTTAATTTTCTTGATAATATAAATAACAGAATTTGTGTCTGTTTGGGTTTTTCTACCTTTCTCTCCACAGTGATGTTGCGGTTGGTGTGAAGGCAAGCAGTTTTACATTTTACTTTCACTTAGTGAGCACATTTGTATTTACTTTGTCTGTGTACTTCCTGTCCACAAGTTCTGATTAATACCTTGTTAAAACTGTCTGTGAAGTTAAAGGATGATACAAATTGTAATTTTTCACTTTAGTTTTCTTCAAATTGTTACACTGACCTATAACAGGATATCTGTTGATCCCCCCCTCCTTTACTGTCCAGTACAAAATGTTACATAGTGTGTGATAGTGTCTTATTCTACTTTTAGGAGTAATATTGATTATGATTATGATCTTTGTGTTTCTTTCTTTCTAGAGAGGCTCAGATGAGCTCAGCATGTACAGCAGCAGCCCCAACGCGATGACAGGTACGTTTACTTTCAGTTTTTAATGAAAGGGTTAACGGGGTATCATAGTTAACTGTGCTATGAGAAATGAATGGTAATTATACATATATTGTCTTATCTTTGATATTGAATTCTACTGTTGTGGATTAAAAAATAATTACTTGTACCCTTTAAAAACATAAAGGTTTAGGATTATAATCAAGGGTTTGTTCAACCAGCTGCCCATACGCTCACAGGTGATCACAAACCTGGAAAATATTAGAAGCATGTATAAAAGAGCCAAATAACATAACATGAAACCTTAAGATAATAAAAATAATATATTTATAAGACAATTTTAAATTGGAAAACAAATATTAAAATACCACAGGACAAAAATGTGTTGGAAAACAATGAGTCAGGCTAAACTAAGAATAGAAAGGATTTGAGTTATTTTTTGAAGACAAAAAAAAGGAGCAAAAACAGAGCACTTTTTAAAGTCGTAAAAGGACAGGTGTTATTTAAATATGCCTTTAAGCAGTAAGAAACCACGCGGTGACAGTGAGTCAGGCTGCATGAACAATACAAGGACTCTGAAGATTAAGCTCTATGTAGCTGCTTAAGTTTCAGTCATTTATATAACTTACTGTGTGAGTAAGTGACTTACTCTCCTTCTTTCTATTGCTGCGTGTGTGTTTTGTGTTGGTGTGTGTCCATGTTCAGCGAATGGCAGTGACAGTAAGAAACAGCGTCTGGATGAATCCCCTCCCTCAAGAGTTCTTCACATCAGGAAACTTCCCAGTGAAGTGTCAGAGACTGAAGTCATTGCTCTGGGTCTGCCTTTTGGGAAGGTGACCAATATACTGATGCTGAAGGGGAAAAACCAGGTACACTTTAATGATACACTTTACCATCAGCCAATACTTAAGGGTTAAGATCAAACAATACAGTCTTATCATTTAAATTATTTTCTTTTTAAAGGGGACATATGATGAAAAATCTTCTTCTACAGTGTTTTTGAACATTTATTTGTGTAACTGATCCACAAAATGTGAAATAAACCCATCCAGTCCTTTGTTTGTGGTCTGCATAAGTCTTACAACACAGAGAAAAATGCTCTGTTTTCAAATGTGCTCTCCTTGTGATGTCACAGTGGGATTCTGGTAAAAAAAATAAAAAAATCCCCTCCCCTCCCCTGCTATCTCCACACATAGACTCCACCCCCAGCCTAGAACAAAACTTTTGCGCAGGTCGGCCATTTTTATTCTCTCTACAGAGGAGTGATGTCTACTGGGAAAACTCAAGGGGGGGGGGTCATTGCATTTAAAGAGACACACACACCAAAACGGAGCGTTCTGAGAGAGCTGGTTTATACAGGGTCACAAACCTCCTCTGGTGCTTGATTCAGGTTATATTTTGACCAAAGCACAGCACAGATGTTTCATTTAGACCACAGGGGACTGTTTGAAAAGGGGAGAAGGGGGAGAATATGTCCTCTTTAAACAAAGAAAAGGACAGTGAGATGTTGTTTTTACTGCTAAAACACTTTGTAACATTTTGTTTAGGCGTTTCTGGAGTTGGGAACAGAGGAAGCTGCCATGACTATGGTGAACTACTATACAGCTGTCACACCACAGGTCTGAAAAACACCAGCATGCATTCATATTATACATCAGTCACCTTTGTTGTTGTTGTTGTTGCTAGTTTATGAAACTGTTGTTATTTCAGGTCAGAAACACTCCTGTCTTCATCCAGTACTCAAACCACAAGGAGCTGAAAACTGACTCCGCTCTAAACCAGGTGTGCAAATTCTAAATATTTGAACATCAAACCGTTCTACGGTCTAAAGTGTTTGTGGGAAACATTTAGCCCTTTCCTTATTATGTATCCATATCCCTTCTCTCCAACAGAGGGCCCAGGCAGTATTACAGGCGGTATCAGCAGTTCAGGATGGAAGCTCTCCATCCTCCGACCCTGGAGTTCTGGACCTAGCTCCGCCTCCAAGCCCTGTTCTGCGAATTATCATTGACAACATGTTTTATCCTGTAACTCTTGATGTGCTGCAACAGGTAAACACACACTAGATAAACAAATCAACCCTGAAGTCAGGTTTATTTGATGTTTTTCATATTGTTTTGACACTGTAAATTAAAAGAGGTTTTATTTAGGCTACACTGGTTGACCTCTTACTTTGACAAAAACTGTAAAGCTATGCATTTCTTACTAGCTTTAAACAAGAATGTTGAAAATGAAGTTTGATAAGCAGTCACTCAGACACATATCTTCCGACCTTCTAACTATCCTCTTATGTTGTTATGAAGCCTCTGGGAGCTCCAGATGTTTACAGGCCAACACATACATTTCCCTCCGGGTAATTGTTCAGTAACTCCAGAAGCTAGAATAGACTTTGAGAGATGATGTCTGCCACTGGATTTTATCAGAACATGAATGCAAATTTCTATTTCTATTGATTAAAAAAATAATTAATCCCCAGATGATAGCTTATTCTGGGATTTTTATTTGGCCGTTGCATTAAAGCTCTTTATTTTTCTCCATATAGTAAAAGTCAGCATGTCGAAAAGACGAAAGTATTATTTAGATCAAGCTTGGTCGTTTTCTCAATTCTCTTGTTCAATGGTTTTATTTTCCAGATCTTCAGTAAGTTTGGGACCGTGATGAAGATCATAACCTTCACTAAGAACAACCAGTTTCAGGCTCTCCTGCAGTTCAGCGACCCCGTCAATGCACAGCAAGCTAAACTGGTAGGATCACACTTCTAGCAAAGCAGTGGAACAGTTTGTAACACCAGCTGGACTTGTGTGTTTTGTTCTGAAGCATTCATTCATTAGTGTGTCCTGGCTTTAGACAGAGGAATATCTGGTTAGCTACCGTAGCCTTAACAGTAGGCTAATGATCACATCTTATATCTGATAGTGATACAAAACATTGTACTTTTTTAAAAATATGTCGGGATGTTGTGAAACTGCACCTACTCAGCACACCAATTCAACTGGACTCAAGCCACATCAAAGCCCAGTGGCTGAGATAATAATAATAATAATAATAAATTGGTTTTATATAGCGGTTTTCTGAAAACTCAAAGACGCTTTGACAAAAACATAAAACAATAAAACAAAAAACAACGAGGACAGTACAACGAAGAAGTAATGTAGGCGTTAGTGGTTGTAGGCAGTGATGAAGAGGTGAGTTTTTAGGGATTTCTTGTAGGAGGTGAGTGTGGGGAGTCTCTGATGTTATTAGGGAGTGGGGGGGGGGGCAGGAGGTTTGCATCCGCAGGCCTGAGAGTGCGGGTGGGAGTGTGTCGGTGGAGGAGTTCAGACAGGTAGGGGGGAGCCAGGTTGTGAAGGGCTTTGTAGGTGAGGATGAGGAGTTTGAAGTTGATATGCTGGGGGATGGGGAGCCAGTGGAGGTCATGAAGGATGGGGGTGATGTGGTCTCTGGAGAGGGATAAGATAGACTATTGTTGCAGATACATCAAGGGGCTTTTAGTCCAGTTGAATTGGTGTGTGTGTCTCCTCTGCAGTTTTTTCCCTTTTAAAAAAACCCATCCTTTGTTGAAAGTTGAACTTATTAATGAAGTCTGTTTGAACCGTTAGTATTCCAATAATGTCTTGACTTTTTAAGAAATGTTCAGTTTTCAGATTTAAACAGATGTTTTTCTTTTTGGACCCGACTAAAATTTCTTCATCAATAACTTGTCTTTCCTCTTCTTCTTTAGTCTTTGGATGGACAGAACATCTATAACTCATGTTGCACACTGCGGATAGACTTTAGTAAACTGGTCAACCTCAACGTCAAGTACAACAACGACAAAAGTAGAGATTACACCAGGCCTGACCTTCCTACAGGAGATGGAGAGTCAGCCAACAAGGACCATTCCTTATTGGGTAAATGTTCCTCTGTCCTTATCTGTCTGCACCACATTTATTTACATCTTCTGGGGTTTCTACTGGTTCCACACTGCCAGTTGAAGGCTGAATACTTTGTGCCCCTGTCTGCAATGTGTAATGCATGGAGGCAGAATCAGAGGTCATCAGAGGTAGAGGATGAGGTGTAATGGGGGCTGTGTGTGTGTGTGTGTATGTCTGAGTGTGTATGTGAAGCTACCACCTTGTGTTCACACCCTTTGGTGATGTGTAACCACACACATCAACATTACAGATTCAACGTGTGAGTGTAAAGGAATGATGACAGAAGAACTTCATCATGGCGCTGAATAGTATTCTACTGTCACGCTCCTCTTTTAACCCCTGAAATAAAGAACCCCCTTTAGTATGCTCAGTCACACATTTCATTCTTCATTTATTGAACCTTTTTTTTTCTTACCGTGTGACATCAAATGAAGAGTTATACAGGATTTGTTTTCTTTACATTTCCTCGGTTATCTCAGGAAAAGAGACAGCTGGGGTTTTACTGTAGCTGGAAATATTTTCCACAGATAAAGTGCCTTTTTTTTCTCAAGGAGGATGTGGCATTAATATCTGAGTTGTTTAAAAGTCAGCTTATTGGTTTCTTGCTAGAGCTCAGGCTTTGTCTCCTTTCCTAAACATGAATAAATCTTTGTAGAACGAGGGGCTTGAACCATCTTTCAAAGATGCTTTATGTGTCTGTATTGATATATTGGAATGCTATCAACTTCATATTGTCCAATAGTGCGTCAGGAGTAAGATAATAAGATGAACTGAATTCAAGTCGTTCCTTGCTCTTAGGTCATAATATCACATTTATGGATGCTTTATATATAAGATAAATGTACCTCTGGTAAAATACTTGTACTGTTACTGCCTGATTGTTCTCTTCAGGTACATGTTGGTGATGTTTTTGTTGAGTAAATCTTGTTTTTGTTTTTTTGTAGGTACCCCATCTGGAGCGCTAGCTTCCTACTCTAGTGGAGGAGGTTACTCGTCCTCACTCTCCCTCTCACAGGGTGGAGGTACTGATATTTAAATGTTTCTTAAATTCTGTTTGTCCATCAGTCTATCTTTGCTATTTGTCTCCTGCTGCTGGCTTTTATTATGTCATGAGCTGCTTTATTTATCTAACATGATTACTCTCATGTGCCTCTGTGCTCAGTTGAGACTATACTGAACCTTTTTTTATTTTAAATACTAGATGGACTTCTATCCTTGTGTCCATGCTAGTCCTGTAAGGCTCCTTAAAATTGGCAAAACTATTAAACTATTATTTCTTTCAATCCTGAAGTAAAAAATTGTGCTTAACCAGCATGGACAACATTTGATTGTAAAAGGGAAATTTAATTTAATTTAAGAACAAGTAGTCATAGTTTAACAGGGTCATTGATGTTTGGCAGTATAATAACATGTCATGAAGCACAGTACCCTCCCTCAATTTGATTTTTTTTTTTTTCCTTTTTTCAGTGCATGTTTTTTTATGCTGCAGCCTCCCAGAGAAATTGTAAACTGTCATGTCTGGGTGTTTTATTGTTTTGTGCCTTTGTTGGATCTAGAGCCCTTTCAAACAAGCACTGCACTCCTGAAAATAGGAAAATAGCGGGAACACAAGTGCCCAAACCTTTCTGAACCTGGACAGTAAACTTGCTGTTTTTCTCTGGTTTCTTTTTTTTCAGCGTCCTGTACATTGTTTTTCATGATCGTGTTTGTATTATGAGTAACTCCTGGTACATGTTTTAGTGCTATCGACCCAGAAACAGAGGACTCCTCCCCCTGCATGCTCTACCAAGGCACTCTCCCTGACATAGACCAAAACAGACTATTTCAAGTTGTGACAACTTGTACAATTCTGGAAATCTCCTGCTGTGTAAAAGTGTCTGAAAGGAAAAGTCAGGACCTGCATTTCTGAAAATGTTGTTGGTTTATGTAATCCTTTTAAAGCCAGAATCTAGTTTAAATTGTAAATTGTTTATCTGATGTTTCTAACAGGAGCCATCAGTCCTCTGAGCGCTGCAGCAGCAGCAGCAGCAGCTGCAGGCCGCGTGGCTTTATCTGGATCTGGAGTGTCAGGAGTCCTGTTGGCATCCAATCTGAATGAAGAGGTAAAGAAACCTGAAGCATTACTCTGAACCAGTGTGTTTATTAATGCATATTTCTGAGTGTGTGTGTGTGTGTGTGTGTGTGTGTGTGTGTGTGTGTGTGGTGTGTGTGTGTGTGTGTGTGTGTGTGTGTGTGTGTGTGTGTGTGTGGGGTGTGTTTGTGTGTGTGTGTGTTGTGTGTGTGTGTGTGTTGTGTGTGTGTGTGTGTGTGTGTGTGTGTGTGTGTGTGTAATCACTTGGAAACAGTTTACAGTGGGAATCATCATACCTCTTCCAACCAGACAGCCGGTCATAATGTGTAAACATGATCTCAAGTTTTAAACCTTTTAGAACGTTAAATAATCTGAAACATTGATGCTACAGTTGTTTTTTAAATTGTACACCAAAAACGTATTTTTTGATAAATGTCGAGGAAATAATGATGTTACACAAAACACATGAAAAGTATTTAGTAGCTATGACTACTACTGCTTTATCTACATTTAAATTTTGGGCTTCTAAAAAAACTAATTCTGAAGACTTCCGTCAGTGTTTATAAATGTATTTGACTCGAGGCAGTTCTTTGTACATGACATGGTTTAAAGAGAAGGATCCTTTCTTTAGCACGAGTGTGTTTTGTGTGTTTCATGCTTTGATTCTTAAGATGGATTTTTGTGCTTGGTAAACTGTGACAGGTCCTAAATTTGACAACTTTCAATAACAGAACCTTAACAATTGATCTGACTTGTTAATCCAGTTTAATGGTTTATTTTAATCAAGGACAGTGTACAAAAAAAACCATTAGTCTCAGAAGAGAAAAGATGCTTTGTACTAGATTTAGCTAACTAGCTAATTTCCATCTGTTATCCTTGGGCAGATGATGGTGACAGCATTCAGCAAGGTTCTGTTGTGTTTTTGAAGCTTTGTGGTTTTTTTTAACTGAACACTTAAATCTTCTACTTCTTCTGTCAGTCTCTCGTTTCCTCTCTGATTGTGAATGTGTGTCTTCTGTCCTCTTTCATCCGTCTTCCTCTATCCACAGTATCTGTTAACTGGTTCTGAGTTTTCCACCTGTCAGAGTCCTGCTCTCTCTGTCTCTCATTCTTGCTTCTGGTGGAGCGGTGGTGTTCACACTTTGAGTCTTTAGTCTTTGTCAGACTGCAAAACAGTAATACTAATAATAATAATACATTTATACACCAATTACTTTCACATTAATTCAGCATAATGTTGGTGTCCCAGTGTGTTTTTTTTTATTGCGCTATGGAGATGCAGAAGCTCGACGAGCATAGCATGTAAACACACACACACACACACACACACACGTAGAGGCCCCTCTGGCTCCGCCTTCTTCCAGAGATTTTGTCACACCCCTGTAATGCCTCTGGTGCTTCCTCTGATGACTTGGTCCCAACATGTCGCCTCTTTGACCTTCATACTGAAAGCCAAACGTCACAGGGGCTTAAATAACAGTCTGGATAGTTTTTCGTGAAACTCCTGTATTCTGACTGCTCAGTAGAAGTATTCTCCCTGTTGACCAATCAACTTGTCAGCAGCAGCTCCTGCACCCTGCAGAGTTTGCGCAATACAATCCTGTGGCTCGGTAAAGGTTGAGTGTGATGTAGCCATCCTTCATGTTTTGAATTGTTTTTCAGTCAAGACTCCATTCTCACCTGAGTCATCAACAGGACAGACTAACAGCTGTACTAAGATTTGTGTTCCCTGTATTCTGGTGGCTTTGCAAAACAAACCCCAAAGTGTATCACTGTTCTATGTTCATTTAATGAAATGATTCTTTAATACCAAACCCATTCTTAAACTTGTTAAATGGAAATGAACACATGTCCTAGTTTACATTTATTCCCCTCTTGAAGATTGGTTAAGAAGACTTTTGAAAATTAAGATATAAATGATTTTTTTTCTGAGTATATTTCCACATCAGACAGAAACTATTGTTTCAGAAATGGACCGTGTCTCTCATTCAAAGCTGATAATTGTACACCTTGAGGAGAGGTTAGTTATGTCAAACTCACCCATGTTGCTTTTAGTGATGATTCTTCGTAATGTATTTGAAGATTTCCAACAAAATAATATTTTTCCACCAAACAGTTTAAAGTTAAGTTTCATTGTTTTTTATACATTTCCTTTCGACATGTCTATGCCAGTCATGGTCCGCAGTCATTATGGCGCCTGTTTCCTGCAGTCACATGCTCTAGTTGACCATCTCCTCGGTGGTACCGCCCCTTGATGTTGGTTATCTCTTTCTCTGTCATTCACTTATTTGTTTTATGCTTTACATGCCTTTTAATGTCTTATTTCTTACTTCCCTCCAATCCTTTCTTCTCCTAACTGAGAAATGCATCCAGCAGAAAGTGTGTGTTTGTGTGTTTGTGTTTGTGTGTTTGTGTTTGTGTATGTGTGTTTGTGTATGTGTGTACGTGTATAGAATCAAACAACCAACCATTCAGACGCCGTTGATGTTCCGCTGATGCTCTGTTTACTGACCTCTGCTTTGGTTTTTGTCCTCTCTTCCTTTCTCCCTTTCCCAACTCCTTTCTTCCCTCCTCCATTCCTAAACACTTCATCAACCGATTGGCCGTTCATCTTAAAACCCTCTCCTTCCTCCCCATAATGCTTACCCCAACTATTCCTCACTTCCTGTCCCTCTCTTAACTAAATGGGGTCTAACCTAACTTATGATTTGCCATGTTTGACCCCCCCTCCCCCCAACCCCCATGCCCTTTAATGTTTTCTCAACCCCTGCATCGTCATGGAAACCACCACCCTCCCCCTTCTCGTCCAACGCTGGGCGGTCTGATCTCTACCTGCGTCTCTCCTCTTCCTCCTCCTCTGCTCCTCCTCTTCCTGTCCTCTGCTCTGCGGTCTCTCTCTCTAAAGATGGTCACGCCTCAAAGTCTCTTTACCCTCTTCGGTATGTTCAACCTCTTCTATTCTATCTGTAAATCTCTCTCTGTTAATCCAATTTTTGCTTCACTTTTTTCAGTGATGTCGTGGAATCGGTTTTTCCTCTGTGTCTTTCTTTATCTCTAAACCTCTCCCCTTTTTAAGATTGAACAAAACTGAGTCTGCTTTGTCGACTCTGAATGAAAAATGAGTCTGGGGGGATTTGTCTGTTTGGTCAGCTGATCTGTTAACTGATGAGAACAAAAACAAAAAAAGTCTCATTGTTGTCAAACTTCCCCACAGTGTACTGGACCTTCAGTTAGATAACTTTCTCTCAGTGTGGTGCTTTTAGAAACTACTCGGGGGCGTGTGATCCTGACCTGGCATGAGGGTGTTTCAACACAGCATCTACTGTCTCCACTCAGCCAAAAGACGACTTAATCATAAATCATCTAAAGTTTTGTAGAAAATTCATCCGTCATCTACTCTCCTTTGACTTTCTCTTCAAGGTTATTTTTATTGAATTTTGAATTATTACACACATTAATACAAACAGATCCCACCCCCCCTTGCTGTCATTCACGTCTAAAGACTCTCACTACCTCGCCATATTCTGTTGACGGCGAAGATGAAAGACTAGTTGTTGAGGCACTTGGTGAAAAATAAATAAAATAAACATAAATATACACACTTAAGTATTAATAATAATATTCTGATGTATAGGTAAGGTGGAATAAAAAAAATGAATAAATAAAAGCCAGAAGCAGCACGACCAGGTCAGAAGATAGAATGTGTCGAGGGTCAAGGCAAAGCAAATTCACTATTTAATCCTGTACATGTGTGGAGGGTTTGCCAAAGAATGGAAAGGAACGATTTCCAGATTTTATTGAATTTATTTTCAGAACCACGCAGTGTGCATCTGATTTTCTCAATCTTCAGGTTAATAAGTACATCCCTTATCCGATGAGAAAGTGAAGGTGGGGCTGTGTCCTTCCTCTCCTTTGACTTTAATGGAAAAAAACAAACATTTTAATTTTCAAGTTAAAAAAACATTTAGGTTTGGAAGATATCCCCTCGGAGGTTGAAATGCACAGTGCACTGAGTTTTATTTTATTGGCCAGCATGAGCAGGAGGAATGACTACAAATATGACTTGTTTAAAATCCTTGTGGGTACTTCACTATCCTGAAAGTTGTGAATGTACTATAATTTTTTTCCTTTAAATGAATGTGACCTGCAAATGTAGGACAAAATAATTTTTTTGGAAACAAAACCAACACTTCCCAGAGCTTGTACTTCATAGAGCTGTCATTGGAAAAATGTAGAGCGAGTGCATTTTGAAGGGAAGAATTGTGGAGTAGAGTTGACCCTCAGTTAAAAATGAAGTATCTGAGCTATCTGCTAAGCTGTGATGTAAGAAAAAAAAAGAAGCTATAAACGTTCAATTTCTCATTCTGTCTTTTTAGTGATTGAAGGAACAACAAAACGACAACCGCAAAATGTAGTTTCTGGTACAATATTTTGAATAATATTTATGTAGTACCCAAATGAAAAATGTATATTCTCACTGTTAAATTGATCATGACAGTCTGGTGTGCTCCTCCTGACTCATTCCACATATTACAATCTTTACACCTCGTCCTTTCTTTATGTCTGTTTGTTAAGATGTGTCATTAATCAGATACTTTCCAGTCAGAGTGAACTGCTGCTCAGGCCCTAAACTAAGAATCAGAGTGCCAACCAGCCCAGATACTAATAATAAGCTACTCCAGGATATACAGAGACCTGTCAAAAAGGGGTGGGTCACTTCTCTGGATTTACTGTACATGGCATGCAGTATTCAGTGTGTGTCCTTTGAGAGGTTTTCTCTTTGTTCCCTACACTGTCCATTGCTGATTTCACCTTTTCATAACCAGTCTCCAAGCTGGTTTATGGAATCTTCTGCACACTTGCCAGTCAAAGTTCTCCTAACTCAGCCAGTTACCAGGGAAGTTTCAGGTGTCTGAATGTTGTCACTGGTTGACGTGACATGAAAAGCTCTACTTGGTTCTTCTGGATTATTTTTGATTGAATGTCTTGTGGAAGTCAAATTGGGAAGATTCCATCTTTTCTTTTAATTTGTCTTTCTTCCACTAACTTTATTCCTTTACATTCTTTACACCTCTCCTTCTTTTATCTCTGTGTGCTCCATCTCTCCTGCTCTGTCTATACTACCCTCCTCTGCTCTCTCTCTCTCTCTCTCTCTCTCTCTCTCTCTCTCTCTCTCTCTGTCTCTCTCTCTCTCTTCAACCTTCAGGAGTCTATGGTGATGTCCAGAGGGTGAAGATCCTCTACAACAAAAAGGACAGTGCACTGATTCAGTTGTCTGATGGAAACCAGGCTCAGCTGGGTGAGTTATTCTTTATGTAAGCAATATCAATCACTACACCAGTATTGGACTGCAAGAAATACATCAAGAAATAAAAGGTTTATCAATGTTATCAAAACACTTATGGCGAGTTTTAGGTGGTTATAACACAGACTGAGATAAATGACCGGAATGGAATCGGAACTATAGTGGATATGATTGATTATATTTAAAGGGGACATATTGTAAAAAATACACTTTTAGTGATTTTGAACATATATCTGGGTAACCTGAGTGTCTACACACCCACAAAATGTGAAATAAACCCATCCAGTCCTTTGTTTGTGATCTGCATGAGTCTTACAACACAGAGAAAAATGCCTTGTGATGTCACAGTGGGATTCTAGTTAAAAAAAATCCCCTCCCCTCCCCTGGTATCTCCACCCATGGACTCCACCCCCAGCCTAGATCAAAACTTTCACACAGATCCACCATTTTTATTCTCGCTACAGAGGAGTGATGTCTATAGGGAAAACTCGGGGGGGGTGGTCATTGCATTTAAAGAGACACACACACCAAAACAGAGCGTTCTGAGAGAGCTGGTTTATACAGGTTCAAAAACCTCCTCTGGTGCTTGATTCATGTTATATTTTGACCAAAGCACAGCACAGATGTTTCATTTAGACCACAGGGGACTGTTTGAAAAGATTAAGAAAGGGAGAGAATATGTCCTCTTTAATGATTATTAATACCTGAAAAACTGCTGCAGGGAAGGTGGCAGACTCAAGACTCTAATCAGCCATTAGATAGTAGATCCTACTTTGTCCACAGGGGGGCCAAAAGTCAACACAAACCAAAAGTTCCTCACAGTAGCTTTAATATATAAATACATATATATTTGTACTTTAAAGTCCATGTACCACTTCAGATCCAATCAGAATCTTAAGGGTTTTTTTTCTGTATGACTGCAAATGGTAATTTCCATATTTCTGTTCTTCCTTACATGTAGCAATGAGCCATCTGAATGGCCAAAAGGTGTTTGGTAAAGTGATGAGAGTGACTCTGTCAAAACACCAAACGGTGGCTCTGCCCAGAGAAGGACTGGATGATCAGTTACTCACTAAAGGTAGGAGGTTATGTGCATGCAAGAAGGACCTTTTTCAATATCTTTGAAGGATTTACTTTTACTCGTGACATTCTCTGTTGTGTTTTCAATTCAGACATTTAAAGTGTCAAAGTCAACTTTGAAGTGTCGTTACAACTTTTAAAGTTTCTTTATGTTTAAAAGATGTTCCTCAAAAGCTGTTTCCAAAAAAGTTTGTGTGCGATTTACAAAAAATAATTCCCAGCAGCAATAACCTTTAAAGCTCAGAAAGCCTTCTAGGTTCCAAAACATGAAATTTGATTTTTCATTAAGTGATTCTTCAAAAACTAACTATATTGAATCAACATTGCTGAGTTTGAAAATGGTAAAAATCTAGATATGCAGTTAGACTTAAGTGACCAGAACTCATAGCTCACTCATAATCTTCTCCTGGGACTAGCTTAATAGCTAAAGGCTTCATAGCTAAAGGCTACATAGCTAAAGGCTACATTATTTATACCGAGTGTAATGAAGTCAAATCCTCGACTTTGGCCGGGGGTGGGGGGCGTTATAATATATTTTCTGAATCTGTGTTAGACTGAAGCTAGACTATTAGGTGCTGAAGTTCATGTGATAGAAAAATGAAACATTATGTGTAGCATTCACATGAAATAACTTTCACCCTGATGTTTTAACCCTGATGTCTAATTGTTGTTTTTGTTTATTTTTTATTTTTAAAGACTTTTCTGGTTCTCCGCTCCATCGTTTTAAGAAACCAGGATCCAAAAACTTCCAGAATATATTTCCTCCGTCTGCAACACTTCACCTCTCCAATGTCCGGTAGGAGTAATTTTTTTTGTATCTGGATAAAGAGGTTCATTTCTTCAGCTTTGCTTTGGATTCATTCTGCTTTAAAAAAAACAATAACAGTTTGTCTTTGTGTGCAGTGATGGTCTCGGAGAAGATGATCTACGTCTCCTGTTCTCCAACGGTGGAGGAAGCGTTAAGGCCTTCAAATTCTTTCAGTAAGTAGAACTGAAGTATATTGAGTGAGTCTTCATTCACTTGTGTATGTGTATGAATGGATGAGTGAATACTGATGGACTCTTTACTCAGCAGCCTCTACCATCAGTGTGTGAATGTGTATGAATGGATGAGTTAATACTGATGGACTCTTTGCACAGCAGCCTCTACCATCAGTGTATGAATGGATGAGTTAATACTGATGGACTCTTTACTCAGCAGCCTCTACCATCAGTGTGTGAATGTGTATGAATGGATGAGTTAATACTGATGGACTCTTTGCACAGCAGCCTCTACCATCAGTGTGTGAATGTGTAGGTGTGACCTGCGGTGTAAAAGCACTTTGAGCAGTCAGAAGATTAGAAAAGCTCTTTACAAACTCAAGCCCGTTTACCATCTTCAAACCTCCTGTGTATATTTGTTTATAATGTTCAGTGGTAAATCTTAAGGCTGGTTCACACCGAGCTGACGACAAAGAACAACCTTCCTAATATTAAACTAGACTAAACTGTTTCTGCTCTTCCTTCATCAGGGACCGTAAGATGTCTTTGATCCAGATGTCATCGGTAGAGGAAGCCATACAGGCTCTAATGGAGCTTCATAACTATGACATGGGAGGGAATCACCATCTGAAAGTTTCCTTTTCAAAGTCCACCATCTAACCTACTCCTGAACACGAAGATCTATGATGAGCAAGGAAGTCCCTCACATACTTAGTCTTTTCAGTATCTTCTGTTAACCTCTTGTGCACTATTCCAAAACCTTTAAAAATAAGTAGTAGTTAAACACCAACATGTGCTTCAACCCCAAAGTTACAATTCATGAGTAGCATTTGAATAGATTTTAGTTTAAAGATTATGAAAACCCAAATCAACCTAATTCTTGACCAGTAGAAGCTGTGTAAATGTCAGTTGTATCCTAAAGAGTTAAGAAATTCCAGCTTTATGACATCTCAAATTGCAACTAAATAAATAGTGAACATCAGCTGAAGATTTGTCTTCATGTTAAATTTGCAACTCTGCAGTGATTTCTTAAAGTTCTCCAGGGTGATATAGCTCACTGTGATATTGTTGGTTTTGGTTTCAAGCTGCAGCAGAGCGCCCCTTCGACGTCACTCTACCACAGCGATCACTGATGTTGCTCAGCAGTGAAACAGACTTCAAAGATCAGAGTGTTCATCTTTACAAATACGTTCTTGTAAATTTAGAAACGAATACAGACCTTTTTAGTTTCAAGTTTACAGGAGTAGATGAGAATTGTTATCAATAATCAAAATGTGATTCATGTTCTCTCCTCAATTTTGAACAGATCACAATCTTATTTTAAGTCCAGATTTAAATGTTTTCTGCAGCATACAGGATAACTTTGCATGAAGTTTGAACACCAGATGTAATTGAAGTGGTCAGAGGTTTTCAAAAGAAATGAATTAAACCACCCTTCATACATTTTGGTACAATGTCAGACAATACAGCTTTTCTTAACTGGCATACTGTAGTTTCCCGCTCTTTTTCCCACAGGCTAACACGGTCAGAACAACCGTTTACAGGGTGTGCTTTGACCATTTTTGATGCATTGAGTCACAATGCTTATATGGAAACTGGAAAAATAATTTGAGAAGGCTGCTTGTTGAGTACATTTGGATACACCAGAAATAGATGTTCCTGTTTAAATTTGATGCTTTAATAATCCGTTGCTAACTTGGTGCGCACACAGCCACATTAGGTAGAATGAATGCTAATACTGTCTGCAAAGACAAGGTTTCAACATGTGATTCTGGTCTTGGTCTCTGATTTTGGGAGGAGACCTTTTGGACCAAAGTTCATGTGCCTTTAGCTTGTGGTCTGATTCAATCTTTCATGCCTTGATACAGTCGTTTAATTAAGATGTGAACCCAGCCCAGCTGTCCAAAAAACATGAGCAGAAGAAAACTGGGTCACTTTCCACTGAGTTTATCTTCAAACTGTGTTTCCTCATCTCTGGTTCTTATTTTAGACTACAAAGGTTTTATTTAAGGAGATAGTTGCACATTTTCTACCTGAGCTTGTTTCTTTTGTGGTAAGATTTCATAGTTTCATGTATTTTCTATCAATGAACCCAATTGAAATTACAGTATGTCTGTGTTCCAACTTACTCCAGGCCTCATGGCTCATCTATATCCTACCTGTCAATAAACTTCTCTCTCTCTGTTCACTTCTGTCAGTTGTTTTTCTTCTTTAAATTGTTTGACATTAAGAAATGCAAAGATAGTTGTTTTTTAAAGGCTTTATATGTGATTTTTTTGATCTAGCAGATGTCACCAGCATGAAACCAAAACAACTCGTGCTGCATTGTTGTGTTAGCATGCTAATGCTAGCGATCTTTATTATGCTCGTATCTTCACACTGCATGTAAATTTACCTGAAATGAGCGTGATCTAGAAACACAGTTAAGCAGTGAGTACAGTATGTTATTCTTCTTTTCTCTAGTCCCTCAATTAAACAACTTTTATACAAGAGGGGAGGAGTCAGCCGGCCGTCCTGGCGATGTAAACAAACTGAAGATAGGACTCTGAAAACTGAAAACATCACAGGCAGTGGGACTCGGGTGTTACACCCATTGTAGACAGTCATGACTCACAGAGTTAGTTTCAGCGGATATACTTGATTTATATTATATTTAAGTGTGTAAAATCACATATTAAGCCTTTAATGCTGCATGTTTCTATGATGAAGCGCACGTGCTGTTATTGAGTAATTTATTCACACAGTAGTTGGCAGTAATGCTCCTTAACGGTGGTTGCCATTGCAATTAAATAATATTAGAAGAAGAAGAAGAAGCACAAAGCTTGACTATGTTGACAGTTTTGCATGAGGAAACAGAATCACCACACTGGACACATCAAATATAAGTTTTCTTCTTGGGGGACCAAAAGCTCACTGTGTTGTGTGTACTGAAGTTCTGCGACATGAAAGTCTGAAGCCATCAAAACAATTACACAATTAAGATATGAAACAACATACTTATAGATACTTTTAAAATACTAATGTTCTGTTTTGTGATGATTAAATACAATGACATTTTCATACAGCCAACATTTTTAATTTAATACATTTTGGTTGCGATTTGTCACTAAAGGTGAGGAAGAGTTGAACGACCAGTTGAGAACCAATCATTTACAACAAAACTCCCATACACTCTGTGCAAGTGACCAATTCAATGAAAATGGCTCATTTTAAAGCAGACTCAGGTAAGATACCCAGAATTTAATCAAAAAGTTCCCAACAAGCCTCAGATAATCTTGATCACCAAGGAGTTTTAGTTTTAAAAGATTTTTTACAGAGCCACCAAATATGTAAAAAAACAAGAAAACAAAGGAGACAATTTGAATAGTTTTAATGGTTCTCCCCATGAAAATAAATTACAGTTCTTGTTGGGTGCCCCATTGGAGTCAGCGCCTGGCATTAGATGCAGTTCTACTGTAATCCATAAGAGGTCAGTGTAAGCCAAGTCCTGTCACCAATAAAAGGCTGAAACTAAAACTCTGATTTCTCCATCACTAAGAGAAAGCTGCTCAAAGTGGGAGATTTCCAGTGAAATGATGTGTGATGTCATCTTTCTTTAATCTGTCAGGTTTATCTCCTAAAACATTTCTTTAAGAAGGACAAACCCTGATACATGCAGTACGAGAGGAGAACAAAGGGGGATAAAGTTACAGTGAGACTGTATCCAGATCATTGGACAACTGTTGCTCCACACAGATGGAGGATGGAGCTGTAAGCAGGTGCTGCTCCACTGAACTCTAAAGAAGGCATTCAGTTGATGTCATGGACCTCCACTACGGTTGAGATCCTGTGAACTGTTACCCAAGTAAATGGTAAATGGACTTGAGCTTATATAGCGCTTTTCTAGTCTTCCGATTACTCAAAGATCTTTTACACTGCAGGTCACACCTTCACACTGATAGCAGAAGTAACTAACTTCATATGTCGCCAATGAAGCTGCAGGAGCAACTTGGGGTTAAGTGTCTTGTCCAAGGACACAACAGACATGTTGCTGCTGGAACTGGGATTGAATCCTCAACTGTCCGGATGAGAGACGAAGACTCTACCACTGATCCACAGCCGCCCACAAGTGACCTACCAGGCCTCTACGCTGCATCCTGTCTCCAATGACATCACAATGTCACTATTTGTATTTTATCATTAATTCTGCAATTTGTATCTGTAGTATTCATACAGTGACACATCAAAATGTCCTCTGTTTAAAGTGTAAAAAACAATTAAAAAGGAAGAAAGAAGAAAGACGTTATGTTAAAGATTCACTGTAGAATCTGTCTGTCTTAATAAATGGTGCAAAGTCAGTCGAGCAGCCGATGCTAATATATCTCGGAAAATATTCCTGCATGTAAACCAATGCAAAGAAGAAAGAAAGAAAGAATAGGGGAGAGATATTTTCCTCATGCAACTTGTGGACCTTACAGCTGACCAATAGATTTGAGTCTTCCTGATGACCTCAGAGCTCCACCCCGTGTGTGTGTGTGTGTGTGCGCGTGTCCGTGTGTTTAGTGATGCAGATGATCCGTAGATCTGTGGTTGGTCTGATCCTCCCCTCCCCCCCATCCATACCTCAATTTTCCTCCCACAGTCCTTTGGTGGTGAGGGGGAGGGGAGAGTGGGACTCTGGGGTGGAGGAGGTTTAGGTCATTAGGCAGCGGGTTGAAGATAGATAACCAAACTAATATCCATAACTTACTGCGACCATAAAGCTCCTTTATAACCATCAACTAGAACACTTCAGATTTAAAAAATGACATACAACAATGAAGAAAGGACTGTCTGCTCTTAATCTCCAAAATAATGAAGTTTCCCATAACCACACTTAAACCACACAGTGGCTGCTTGAAACAGATTGGCCTTAATTCAGCGTCACCTGTGAGGACTGACAAGAGGTTGTGTTTTTCTGCTCCAATAAGGGACCATCTAACGTTGTCTTCATGCTTTAATTCTGTGTAACCTACTAGTATTTAAATTGCTAGGGTTGACAAGAGTAGCTTTAAAGGGATACTTGACCCGTTGAAACATGAATCTGTATGACATTGGGTCATATATGTAGAATTGTGAAATACATTTTGAAGTTGGTGCCTCCTTGACTGAGAAAAGGCAGAAAGTGTATTTTTGGCTCATGCGGATGAAAGACACCAAATCCCAGAATGCACAGCACCGCAGGGCACTCCCATTAAGGTCCTCTATTTACAGACATATTTACTTCAACACATAAATCCGTTTCCTCAACTGATTCCGAGATTAGGCAAACAGTGAGAGCACCGACACTACCAGTCTGCCCCAGCTCGAGCCGGCCCCGGCTCCTCGTCCTCAACGCCGCTGCCAGCTCAGCAGCCGAGACACAAGACCGGCCTGTCGGCAGCAGCCATCTCGCAGCTATATTTATATTTTTTTTCGCCATTATCAGCTTTCTCCATAGAGCCTGTTAGCATAGCTTCCAAGCAATATGGCGGACGTTAAGTTTCGATTCTGGGAGTGAGTTCCCACCCACTGATCTGTGATTGGTCTGTAGCTTCAGTGGTCGAAAACATGAGGAACTAGCATTGTAGTTTCACCCCGCTAACCGCAACAGCTTCCAGTGACGCAATATGACGATTTTTGTGTCACTGGAAGCTCCTTTTCAGACTTCTCAGGGGAAAATGAGAGCGGGATGCACGACCATTCAAAAATACTACCAGGTTTCTAATGATACAAAGATTAATGCAAATGGATGAAGTATCCCTTTAAGATCACATAGTCACATAAACAGAGCACAGCTGGCTCAAAAACAAAAACACTAGGTGATTATAACTGTCTCTGGTATCCCAGGTTATCTGCCCCACGGTTTTATTTATTGTCCTTTCTATGAAACCCTGACCCAAACGATTCACGATTTCTATTCTTTTCTTGATTCTGTGTACACCATGTTACATGTATCAATGATATAAAAGAAAGAGTGGCCAGCACTACGACATAGTTAAGACATACTTTTTGCCCAGGAAAAATTTTAAATATGAGGAGAGCAAGATTCAACCAAAGAGTGCAGCAAGCTAACATAGCTAACGCTAGACTCTTCCATAACTGCATTATATGTACGAGAATAAACTGCAACTACCAAGCACTTCATGATGAGCTAATACGAGACTGCAGTGAGACTGACAGTCACTGGTCTAGTGGAGAGAATTCAGTTAGACAAGGATTTTACGCTAGTAAAATCAGTCACATGGTCAGGCAGTCGGAAGTGATACAACAGCAAACAGACATCAATGAGGAAGTGAAAATGAAAGAGAAGCACTGACAACAAAGAATAGGAAACAAAAAACTGCCCATATCCAAGACTAGTGTATCACCAGCCATTTTACAAATGTGTAGAGCCCACCGCTCATAGTAACTTGCCCTGCTAGAAACTATATGTGGCGTACCTGTGGGGAGACCCAACCCCTTTATTGGGTAAAGTACATCCTGCCTTTCGTAGAGCAGAACCTTGGATCTCTTGTAAGATCTCAGGTCTTCAGTCCTAAAACATTTCAACGGAGAATTCAGATTATCAATGGGCTGCAAGGAGTTTCATGTCATATGAATGACATTCTGGTATGAGGGAAAGACCAACACCAGCATCACACTGTGCTGCACAAGCTTCACACTAAACATGGAGAAGTGTGAAATGGACAAAAAACAGTCAGATCGATGAGATGCAGGAGATGTGAACGAGCTACACCTGGTGTAGTCCTTAACCATACAATCCTCTCAGGACAGATGTTGGCTCTCATCTTCTTCTCACAACCCTTGTGAACCCCTTTATGCTGTAAATAAAGTTGGTGTTATTTTGGTATACCTCGTCTTCGACTCCTTTTTTAGTTAGTTTTTTAGTTGCAGCCTAAGTTGTAAGTTGTAACACTGCAGAACAAAAAGCGTTCGACCAGCTGAAGGAGGACCTTACACCACCTTTGGTGATGACCCTCTATGAAAGCAGATCTGCAGATGCTTCATCATATGGACTTGGTACTGGCTCAGTGTTGGTTACAGGCCGGCCAGGCTGGTCAGCTCCGTCATGTCGGCGGCGGCCAATTCATCAGTTTGCTGTGGTATAATCTCAACATTGTCCTTGAATCGGGTGAGCTAACAGCTAACCACAGGTGCATCGATGCGCCACTTCAAAACATCCACTTC